CAAACATTAAAACACAAGCTCGAATGCCACACTGAGCGGCTCCGACAGGCCCACAATCCTTTTGGTGATACACGCTGCGCCGTTCCTGCTGCGCTCAATTAATCTGGCTCAGTCAAGACCGCGCTGAACTGTCATCATAACACTAATAAAGAAAAAGCTTTGAGCTGTTTGCATTAAGTGGGCTGCTTGTCTCAAACTGTCGCTTCGCCTGCGGCTCTGGCTTGGCACAAGTTTCGGTGCCGCTCTCTTTGCACTGGTTTATTCCCACTGTGGTCCGCGCACAAATCCCCTCATCGTCTCAAAGAAAACACTAAAGGCAGCACGGCCCTGCAAAGCCTCATTAGGCTTAATAACCTTTACTGAGCACAGAGCCGTGCACCGTGTAAGTGTGAATCCTATATGCAGGTGTACATTGCTGTGAGGCTTGTGTTCTTTGCATACAATGTGTGTTCATTGATGCGTGTGTGTTGGTGTGTGTGTGCGTGTGTGTGTCCTCGGAGAGAGAGGCTCAGAGACACAATGCGTCTTATTCAGCAGGGTCCTTGGATTAAAATGTAATTTCATTCAAAGTTGCAAATTGGGTTTTTTACTGTAGTAATCTTCATTTTACTAAGCAGAACGAGGTATGTCATTAACAAAAAAAAGGACAGACTTAATGAAAGAATGCAGGATAGATGGATTACATAGGGTAAAGCAGCTCCCCACGTGAAAGATAAAAGGTTATTCCAAATCATAAACAGTAGAAAATGTATTAATAGTACACTTTATGATTGTTGAGTGTGTACTGTAGTGATTATAGTTGAGGTAAAAGGCTGATAACTATGGAACGGCAGCAGCATGGTTTCAAATAAAATATATCCATTCATAATCAAACAGCATTGTAAGGTAAGGTTAAGAGGATTCAAATAAATAGGCCTTTGTACTCATAATGTTTACACATATTATCAGGGTGTGGTGAAAAAAAGAAGATTATGGGACTATGTTAACTACACTACACACACAGTGCACTACACTTTTGAATGAAAAAAAACATTTGAGTGGAAATAATGGAGCCAACTGAAGTACAACATGTGGTTAGAATCAGACTCTGTGAAATATAGTTCTGTACATTTTACTTTATGGAATGAATTTCAAGCAAGAAAAAAGGGGGATAGCTGGGAGCAAAGACACAATACCTGAGCTGCACGAACACAGCTTCTGTGAAGAATGACACATAATGAATTCCCATCATACCAGCCCTCTCACCTAATCACATTCTGGAATCAGCGAAACCATTTTCTTCAGCGCTCCCTGCTAATACATTTCCGGCAGAGAAATCACGATCCACAAAATAATGTCTGTGATAAAATCAGTGAATCTAGGTTTGTTTGGTACGACCGTGCTTTCAGGAGACCGGATGCGTTAGTATTGGGCTGAGAATGCAAATAGATGTTCTTTTTCAATTAAATCCACTTGCAAACAAAACTGATTTCATTCCGTAATGACTACGCTTCCACATACACGTTGTGGTAGAATAACAATTTTAAAACCTGGATCACTCATTTTTGGGGGGTTAATTAAGGTTATTTCAGATTTTTTTTTCCTTAAACATCAAATATCTTCAATTACGTTTTTTTTTTCCTCCCTCCAGGAGAAGCTAGTGATGAACAAACCACCTGCCCATAATGGCGCTGATGGGAATTAGAAGGCCATTTCCTTTTGCTTTCCCCTCCTTCCTCTGTTCCTCTTTTCTCCCCTCTTCCCATCCTTCCTGCCATAGATGAGCGGGAGAGATTTACTGTTAGGGGTCACACACTGCTTCTAATTAGCTTAAGTAGTTCGGGGGGGGGCAGAGGGTGGGGAGGGATCCCGCTCCTCGCTGAGACGCATCACCAAGTCCCACAACTCGGTCGGCCTAAGCAGAGAGGGGAGAACGCGGGCAGACAACCGACCTCTGTCTCCGTCTGCTTTTTACGTCAATCCTGTCTGTCGGTGTCCCTCTCGTGTCCCCGAGATGTTACAGTTTTGCAACACTGGAATATTTTGAACAATGTCAAACTCGTGATAGTGAGAAGAGATAACGATGCAGCGGTTTCAGGTGAACTGAACAATGTTGCATGGATGCATCTATTATCGCAACCTCGGAGAGAAAAACCCACATATATCGGCTCTGCTGGGTTCATGAATGGTGATAAATGGCAGAAAAGAAAGATAATACAGGGTCGAATATGAATGAATCTCTGAAATACTGTGTTCGTTTCCCATTGGCATCTTTTTTAAACCTGGAAGTAGTCTCTTCCGCCAGGAGATATGATGTTTTGTGGGATTTTAGAAATGTGTAACATCTATTTGACAGTTTGCGCGAGGCTGAGCGTGTGTTTTCTTCTGCATGGGGAAGTTTCTCTCTTTCTTAATGCGCGTTTATCTACCTCTTTTTCCTGTCCCGAGACAGGTTCTGCTCATCACAAAAACATGGGCTCAACTCCAAATGCCCTGCAGAAATATCTCCACAGTTTCAAATAGTCTGGAGAAGAGTCTCTCCGCCCAGAGACAAAAAAACAGAAGCATTTGGATCAGTCTGTGACAGAGTTTTGGCAGAGGCGTTTGTTTTGTCTCTGCATTTCTCCAGACCTCCTTCCCCCTCTTAGGAGTGTCCCCCCCCGCCCCCCCCACACACACATTGACGCTAAAATGCAGATAGCATTTTTAATTAGAACGCATTTCGCCATCAGTGGAGAAACCAGTGTGCTCTTTCACTGTTTTTTACAAGGTAACAATTTGCCTCCCTGTCGACCCAACCCCTCGTCACTGCCCTCTCTGTGTGTAATCAAGGACCCGTCCCACCTCCCAGCAGCCTCCCTACACAGTTTGTATCTCACATTGCTGCTTGTCTTCAGAGGTGCACCGTGGAGTGTTCAAGAAAGAAGTACAAGCAATAACATTTTTTAAAGGCCAATGTAGAAAACAATTCTACCGTTTAAGGCCTGAAACGGATTAATTTGTTATGCTTGACAGAGCAAAGGGAATTAAAATGATAATTGTTGAATAGAAAAAAACAGAAATAGCATTCTCAAATGATTTTACTGTAAATAAATAAAATAATAATGTAAATGCATATTTGTATTTGAATATACTTTTGGTTTCAAAGAGCAGATTTTTTTAGCACTTCATTCTTCTGCTTGGTTACAAACTGTAGTCGCCATTATGGCATCGGAAACCATTTTTAATTTTGAGTTTCTGCGGTACACGTGTGCTCCTTCTCTCTCTCTGTGCCTGCCCCGTTTTTTCCTCTGCGGCTTACAAACAGATGTTGCTGCTGCTGCCAGACAGCCAGAACATGTCACCTCCCATGAAGCACGAAAGACCGCCTTACACTGAGAAAAAAAACAAAAACACATTCCAACCAATTGAATATGAGACTGATCTTTTTTTGGAGCATGAACACCAAAGCCAACCAACAAACAGGCACCCGTGTAAATGAAAATGTTGAAATGATTGCAAAGAAAAAGCGGTTGTTCGTCTTTTGCCCATTTCCTGGCACATTTCTGAAGAGCTCAAAGGCCTCCCACAACTCAAAAAAAATAAAGTACTCTCCTGCTTTCCAACCCATCCTCTATCCATTTCCTTCTGCTCCCCCCCCCCCCCCCCCCCCCCCCCCCTTATCTCCCTGCATTGCCGACACATTCGTCAAGTGGTGCGACTTCTCATTCATGCGAGCTTTATTGAAATCGAAAAAGCAATCCATTGTTGACGAGGAGACGAAGGAGGACAAAGATTTCAGACTCAAACTACGGCTCTTTTCCTCAGCCGCTCACTCAGTCCCCCACTTGCCCCCCCTGAGGCCTCTTTGTTCAACCTGTGTGTTAAAGTGTGTCCCAGATGAATGTGTGTGAAAGTCGAAACCCTCTTCATGTGGCGGCCTGTGTGTGCGGCGTCTTGTTTGCCCGTGTGTGCACCTGTGTGTGCGCGCATGTGGGAGGATGCACGTGCAGGTGAGATACAGTTGGCTGCTCAGTAGGATAGAGGCGGATATGACTGAAGCTGGATTGACTGACTGGCAAGCAGCTTGACTGCTGCTGGGATCACTATAACACACACACACACACACGCTTATTGCCACACTGAAAATGTTCACGCAAATCCAGCAACACACACACGCACGACCACCCCACAGCATCGTCCATCCATCACTTTTGCCACTGTTTGAATGATTTACTCTGAAAGGTGCCAAAACACCTGTCTTCAATCATACATGCACACATTCCCTTGGTGCACACAAATACACACACTCACTGAATCGGTTAAAACACACACACACACACACATGAAAAGGGCTTAAAAAGAGGTGAAAAAAAATCATTTCACTTTAAATCTCTGTTGCTGGAGGGCTCAAGTGTTCAGTCCGATACTAAAGCTGAGCTGCCACATATTAAACATGCATGTGACGGCCTGCAGGTTCACCAGCTACAGCCAGGCCGACTCATCCTGAGACTTTGCAGGGAAAAGATACTTATTGGTGATATTTAGGGGTCTTGGGGACACTAAACGCTGGTTTAAAGTCTTAGAAATATCCTCATAATATGTGTTATTATTCCAATTATTCTTAAAAATAATTGATCTTTTTTTCCTCCCTGTTGCATCTCTTAGGACTATTCCTTTGCCTGCAGCCCGACTTAAAAATGTGCCTGGTGAGATGACTTTTGCACCAGCTCAGACACCAAATCCTCGCCACAGGCTGCAGGCTGAGGTCCATCAGTGTCAACTCTGTGGAAAAGGTTGAAAATATGTTCGTCAGAGGTTTCGGCTAATCAATAAGTGCAGAACCTATAAAACAGATTATCCAAATAAGCTTCAGTGTTTTATGTTGCTTTAAAGATGACTGCCACAGGTGCTTCGGGGACTGCACACAGAAATGTGGTGGAAATGTGTGGATTTACACATACACACACACACACACACACACACACACACACACACACACACACACACACACACACACAGTCGCGCAAAAAGGTATCTACCTTAGTCACAAGAGGCTCCGTGTCCTCCAGGATGGAGATGAACGGGATCTCCAGGAATGACGAGAGGAACTCCACCTGGATCAGCTCCTCCCTGGAGCGAGGGAAGGCGAGCACGGCCGACACCCCCTTGACCACCAGGTCCTGGCAAGTGCTACGGGACAGGGACTCCGGGTCTCCTCCCGCGGGCGATCGAGCCACCATCTCCAGGCTCAGGTTGTAGGGCATCAGAGGAGGTGTTTGGGCGGTGGTTGTGGAGGAGTCTGCCCCTGTGCTCTGGTGCCGAAGGCTGGCCAGCGCACGGTTAAGAGCGTTTTGTATCCGTGCCGGCTGGCGGGTCGGCAAGAGCGCGCCGATGCGCACGGTGTGTCCTATCCGGGCGAGGATGTGGCACGGCTGAGGGTGCGGGAGGCAGGACTCGGGGGAGCAGAGGCCGGTCAGGACCAGCAGCAGCAGGAGCGGTCGGGCGGAGAGGAAGAGGAGATGAGGTCTCCCGGGGGCGAGGCAGTAGGTCCACAGTCCAGAGACAGACACCATGCTGCAGCTCCGACACACAACAGAGGAGGACTGGGCTCCGATCGGCGCGAGATGGCATAGCTCCCTCTTTCTCCCGGCTCCGGCGCTTTTCCTCGGACTTGACGGTTGTTGTTGTTGTTTTTTTGTTTGTTTTTTTCTCTCTTTATCGATGCGGTCTCGTTGCCAATTTGTTGCCGTTCGGACGTTTCGGGTCTCACCTCTTCAAAGTTTGTACGTCGACAGCAAAAAGACGCGCCGGTGGAGGAGACGAGAGGAGCGCTCGCAGCTTAGAGCGGTCGCCCCGCTTCTGTTAAGTCTCTGCTGGAGGAAGGCGCACCAGCTGTGAAGTGTGTGCGTGTTGGCGCGTGTGTGCGTGTGTGTGTGTGTGTGTGTGTGTGTCCATGCGCCTACCGGCCAATAATCTAACCTCTCACAGCACTGCCTCTTGTTGAATTTCAATGACAATTTGAATAGGGTAACATTTCTTTTAGCTTCTTCGGGTCCCACACGGAAATTCGGCCTAATGTTTTTATCCAGAATTGAAACTACGAGCAATCAAATAGTGTTGTGATTGCATCTAAGGTAATGAGATTAGTTCTGTCCTCCTGGAACCAAAAGCGTCCTATATATTTCTGTCTTTAAGTGGAGGATAAACTCGCTATACCTTAATATCCTCCTGGTATCCTTCTTTACTCTTGCGCACATTTTTCTTAAAAGAAGAAGAAAAATGATGGGGGGGTGAAATGTAGTCGTTTGTTTTGCACGTTTGCAGCACCGACCACAATGTCCCATTCAGGTTGGCCAGCATTAAACTAATAGCTTGCTGAAATCTCAATTTTCCTCAGAGATTTATTCCCACTTACTTACTGCCAATCCAAGTAGAACATTATCCGTTGTGTAACCACATATTTACAGGACCATGGACACCGCCAACACCATAAAAGAGATCTACTGTGCATGCAAATTTGGCTTTGTGCAAGGGACAGCAGTCAGTCCTCTTTTCATTCCTTCTTCTCTTTGCCAGGATCTAATTTGCAATTGTTAGACCAGAACATTCAGTATATGTCCAGCAGTAGTCTGGGCAGTGGTGCGTGGCCCTTTTGGTCCCCACATTCTCTTTTTCTGATAATTCCTTGTTTGTCAAGGCACCGCTGATGCTTTTCAGCCTCTGCTTTTGGTCTTCTGTTTCAGCGGGGCCATTTCAGTTCGAGGTCTGACATGAAACGTACCTGCAGATAAAGCTATCACCGCCTCTCTGTGCCACACACACACACACAGACACACACAGTCCACGGGATCAACAAGTCATTTCACAGCCTACTGGGTGACCTGGTGTCATACCGATACGGTTTACTGACAAAGTTTTCTTACTTTTACTCTTTCTCCTCATGCTTGAGTTGGTCCATATAGGGAAAGGATTAAATCCAACACTTTGGGCTTTGTTCTGCTAAAGAAACCAGCAACATTAAGCTTGGCTCCTCACGCGTTCTCCCTCAGGTGCATGTTGAAGGTGTGTAGGAACGAGTGCTTCCAAAAGTATGTTTCTCCCTTGTACACCGTGACTGTTGATGGTTCAAGTCAAGGTCATCACGACGTATCCTACAAGAACGTTTAAAAATGGAGTAATGTACGAAGCTGCTGAAGATATTTTCTGTATGCAAAATGTCAAATTGTATAAATACCGGAATTAAATGACGGAATCATTTTTTCATCCTTACAATCATACTTAGGGCCAAAATAAATTATTATCTGAAGGCCCATTAGCTGCAACAGGATGATTACATGCTGAAAGCAGTGCATCTCTACACAAGTGCAGTAAATCAACCAACAAAAACTACTACTAATAGTGATTCAACCTTAGAAGAGCAACTTAGAAGTCTAACAGCCATATAATCTTCATATTGTATTCCAAAAAGGAAAACACTACTCCAGCCCATAACCTCCAGTCTTAAAAAACAATAAGTAGACACCAATCCCTCTCTAAAATAAAGATTTGATGACACACTTAAAACTTTGTTTGTTTATTTGATGCCTTCACTCTTTACGCAAAATATCTTTACGCAAAAAATCTTAATTACATATAATTTATTATGTGAATCAAAAAATCTGTAGACATTTAAAATAAAAAATGACTCCCAGAACAAGACGCTGGCTTATTTTACCTCAAACTGTGCTTATGCATTTTAACATTGTATCTACTGAAAATACACTCAAACAGCTCATTTTTATTTTCCAGTTAATAGATCATGTTCATAAGCATCTTCCCCCAATAGCGACTCGAATGCAGATACCGTTCTACAAATATTTAAAAAATCACACTCAAATTGAAGTATGGCTTGCAGTCTTTTTTCTTAGAGAAAAAAGTCCAAATCAAATCTACCATGAGAGTTGAAAAGAATTTGCTGTTAAATGAATTATATGCATTTTTAATTACAGACACTAAAAACTCTAGAGGCCAGTAAGCGGCTGCATGTTGAAATGAAACAACATGGGAGCACTGGGAAACAATTTTCCTCCGGAGTACGTACAAACAGAAGTAAAAGGGAAAAAATGAGGTGGAATGTTTTTGGGCAAGGTGACTTGTTGATCTCAATCACGGATATCAAGCTGTGTCCAATAATAGAATTAGTGTACAATTAGATCGCACCAGCAGAGCTGCATATTAAGGACGCTTATTAATCGTCTCAAGTGTGATCGCGAGCCCCCTGCGGCTTCCGACCGCTGCTCAGGGAGAGCGATGACTAGGACATGTCCTATGTTTGTCTCCAAAGGTCGAACCCCAGCCCCCCACATGCACTCGCTACCTGTATTGCAGTTTCCTATTAACAGCTTCGCCCCACCGGCCATGTTTGTTTTCATTATGTACATTGTAGGGGATTAATAGGGGGGAATAGGATTAAGCAGGCGTCAGAAACCTAATTAAAGTAGCCCTTCATCTTTGCTGGCGGGGGCCCCGTCTCGGTGTCGCTCTCTGCGAGTGTGTTCACTCGTCACCTCCTGCCCTCTGTTTCTCCCACGCGGCTCTAACTACCTTCAGTATTCACATTTTAGACGTGCACCCGTACACTCCCCTTTTTGTTTAACTCCTCGGCTTCACCCCCATCGCTCCCGCCTTCATTCTCGTCCCCTTTTCCTCTCATCCTTTTCTCACTTTCCATCATGCATATTTTCGTCTCTCAGAGAGAGACAGCAAATTTGCTTTTTGCCCCCCCCGCGCCCCAAACACACAATACAACCATTAAACCACATCAGTGATTAATTCATGAGCCGAAAGTGCAATTACATTGGTAGAAGTCTACTGGAGAACACAGCGGTTCAGCTGAGGGGTGAGCCAACAACAACTGCCAATATGAGGAAGGGTGAGTGCTCCTCCGTGAGGTGGAATAGTCTCTACCTATGCATGTGTGTGTGTGTGTGTGTGTGTGTATGTGTGTGTGTGTGTGTGTGTGTGTGCGTGTAGATGTAATCCTAAATAATCTGGCAATACAAACCCAGGTAGCGCGGAGGTTGTTGAAATGCCAGAGAGCCGCGAGTCAGTATTCCTGGCACAGCGCTAAAGGCACAAATATCATTTCCTAGCACAATGCCTGCTAACAGGGGGAAAGACAGAGGGCCGGGAAAAAGAAAGACACAGAGGACGGAGGGAAAGAAAGGAAGAATGAGGAAGAAACGATCACGTGCGACAAAGCTGGAAAGGTTTGTAAGGAGCCGGGCAAGTGAGAATGTTTCGGGGGAAGATGTGCCGTTTGGCGTGCGTTCTGTCTTTAGAGTTGGAACAAATGAACAACATGAGTTCATTCCTTACAATTCCCTTCACCCTCTGCTCCCCCTGATGTACAAAGACACTGGTCTGTGGAGAGACTTATCTGGAAGCAACAGCAGCACCCTGCATGTGTGTCTATGTGGGTCTGTGTGTGCGTGTATGTGACTGTACATGTGTGTTTTTGGCAATGTGCACGCATTGTGAAGGCTACGGTGTGCGTGCGTTGCCTTTTCTGCCAAGATTTCCTTGTTTGTTTTCAAGCCACTGCTTTATGTGACACTCAGGTGGTTGAAGGTTTCATTCCTGTGGATTTGAGAAGGCTGTTGACACTCGTTTGTTGTGTTACGATATCAGTGTTTATAAGAAGTGGACAGTCACCATTTCGGCACTCAATGGTTTGTGGTATACGGTTATGAAGCCATTTCTTAATAAATAACATGTTGGTACATTTTTTTGTTGGAAAATATATTGAACGCTGTATAATAACTAAACACTGGCAAAAGTCAGATGAGTGCAGCTTTACTTTTTACAATCCTAGCACCCACCCGTGTTCTTTTTGATCAGTTGTCCCTGTGATTTTTCCTGATGTTGCTGAGAAGAACTCTGGCAGATCGGGAAATTGAGTTAAGTTGATGTCCTTAAAAAGACCTTGCACACAAAACAAAAGAGATGTGGATCTATACAAAGAGCTTACCACCGCAGGACAATAAGAAAACATATACTAGAAAAATACAGTCATTTGATGCTTTGTTTGACGGCTAGTTCTCATCATAAACTGTTCTACACTGCCATACATTTTATCAATGAAAAAATGGAACACAACCTGTCTCATTTGCATCTCACCTGGTGGGAAAAAGAAAAAAAAGTAATCATCTCGGAGCGCTCCTGTGACCACACAAGAGGTTCCGATTGAAATAACAAATCCATTAAAACAAAAGCTGCCACGGTAAGTCAGTGTAAATTGTTGTTGTTGCATGAACAAGGAGAAGTCGAGATGAATAATGTCAGGGTGGTAGTAGATTTAGTCAGGGACCATCTGTGGTGGAGCCCGAAAAGTCTCCAAACGCGCTGGAGGAAAAACCAGCTGCAAGCACGTATCCGGTCTCAGTGAGCCAGTGTGTCTTAGCATTCACGTGTGTGTGTGTGTGTGTGAGTAGGTGTGTGTGTGTATATAACAGTCTTACACACATTCCAAACAGAGCGGCTGTGTTTGCAAGAAGAGAAAAAAGGAGAGCGAGATAGCGAGTTTCCCTTTTTTGCAAGAGTATGCGTTCAAATGTGTGTGTGGCTGCTGAATCACCTCCCTGTGAGACCGTGCTGGTTTGTGCAGGTGACCGGGGCGACGCGTTAATCACAACCCCAGGCGATGTTTCTGTGAATATATGTGGAACTCCTGTGAAAGCGGGAAGATACAGTCAACACACAAATTTGCTGAGTTGCATGCGTGCACATGACTGGTTAATATATGCACATTACATTGAACTGAGCACAGTCTCCTCCAAAAAAGGCTCCGTGATGTAATCTGCCCTGATCTTGTTGAGTAAAAACCAACAGTGTCCTTC